AAAAAAAAAAAAAAAAAGAAAAAAGAAAATGTGGATAATACTACTGAGGAATGAAGTACAAGTATCTGTACTTATACCTGAGTCCCAGTTTTCAGTTCTTGTGGGTATTAATGTAGGAGTGGAATTAGAGGAGGGTCATATGGTAATTCTACATTTAGGTTTTTGAGAATCCACCAAACTCTTTTCCCTAGCAGCTAAATTACTTTACATTCCCAACAGTCTACAAGAGTTCCAATTTCTCCACATCCTGATACTTGTTTTCTTTTTAAAAAAATAATAGCAAAGGGGTATTTCCTTGTGGTTTGAATTTGCACTTCCCCAATGACTAAATGATGCTGAGAATCTGTGCACTTATTGGCCATTAGTGTATCTTCTTTGGAGAAAAGTCTATTCAAGTCCTTTGCCCATTTTTAAAATTGGGTTGTTAAGTTGTAGAAGTTCTTCAAACATTCTGGATATTAAACCTTTATCAGATATATGATTTGTGAACATCCCCTTGCATTCTGTGGGTTATCTTTTCACTCTCTTGATAATGTTTTTTCTTTTTAACATAAAAGAGGTTTTTATTTTAGTGAAGTTCAACTTACCTATTACTTTTTCTTGTTGTCTATGTTTTTGGAGTGTCATATTTAAGAAACCATTGCCAAATCCAACACCATGCAGATTGTCTCTACATCTTCCTCTAAGAGCTGTACAGTTTTAGTTCGTAAGCTTAAGTCCCTGATGCATTTTGAGTTAATTTTTACAGAAGGTAAGGGTCCAAATCCATTATTCTGAATGTGTATATGGTTTTCCCAGCACCTTTTGTTGAAAGGACTATCCATATAAATATTGAGAACAATAGGAACCAATTTAAATCTAACTTGATATGCGCTCCACTTTATATGTGACAAAAGACAATTTCAAAAAAGGAAATATGAAGAGCACTCAGCCAATTAACTAGGATTAATCAACATTCTTGTACTATGTGCAAAACGTTATACTGACTGCTGTGAGGGTAATAAATTTAAGGTACAGTTTATATTTTTTAGGAGCTTAAATTTTATTTGGGAAAGTAAACCACTACACTAGTCTAGTTAACTAATTTAAGGCATGCATGGAGCTAGGCCAAATGAACACTTCAAACAATATGAACTATGGGAGTTGGAGGAGGCAGTTATCACTGCCAGCTGCGATGGAAGTTTTTCTTTGTTGGCATTAGTGTTAATCCAGCCATGTAAATCATTTGTGAAGGAACTAAAGCAAAACAGAAAACCGAATCCATATACATGGTCTCTTTCTAGCACGTTCCAAGTATCTTCTGTTATTTTAATAATAATTTTTCATCAAAAGACTAATGTGGTCAAATTTATAAAACATATGCAACTAGTACAATGAATTTTGTTTCCAGTGCTTATAAAAGAGTAACAGGAAATACGACAATTTTTCCTGCCTTTCATATTCAACAAATTCAAAATATGGCATTTCCCTTACAATTCTTTTAAAACACAACATACTAGGCTATAGTATATATAACTGACAAATAAGTTATACTAAAAACAAAGACGATCGTATGAAACATACACACACAGACAATATAGTTGTTAACCTTTAAATAAGTGTATTTGAAAACTTTCCCTCTTCCATGGGTATGGCATTCATGTTCATTTTAGTCAAGATTTTTAACTGATCTGTTCCATATGTTTTATTTTATAAGACACTGTTAGGGGGAAAAAGTTACAGAGAACATATAACTTAATGAATCCAAATGACAAAAAATGTTCAAAGAGTAACAGAAAGTCTTTAGCAAATGAACTATTCCTCAATGATACACATTTGAATGAATATAGGCATATAGAAAAAAAAAAGAATACTCTGTATGGATTAAAATAATCTGTCACTGGATATATAGTACAAAAGCTTCCCAAAATATACTTAAGCAAACCATAAAAAGAATAATTGGTACAAATGAAAGCAAGATCACCATATACAACCATACAGTCTGATACCCTCACTACAGTAAAGCTTGGTCTATTAAAAAAATATCTGACCTTACTTCAGTATTACTAACAACTCAGAAAATGAAATAAGCCCTCTAAGAATAAACACAGAGTATCTGAATCTAGGAGAGAGACATACAACATTTACCAATCTGGGACTGAAAATATAACCACTTGCTATGTGTTTATCAAATATTTCACATTGGTAAAATTTTGCAAAGTAGTATAGTTGTATCATCTATCCTCCATTTCCCTCTTGTTGTCTACATGGCATCCACTGCTTTGTTGTACCTATGGCTTCATGCCTTACTCTGAATGTCATTCATGAATGGGGAAGCTCTAAAGGGTTTCTCTTACTTGGAAGCAGATAACTGTGACTTCATGAATTAATTGTTTATTGACTTGCTATGTGGATATACATTTGGATTAAATTTTCAATGAGGTACAACAAAGTATCAAAATAGTGAGGTTAATTTTAGACGAATATGAAAATGGACATCTTACCCACATGCAGGCCTCAATCCTAACTTTTGAGATGATGCTCCACAAAGAAATGGTTCCTTCAATGCTCTCTTCATCTGGACAAATAATTTGATCAGGATAAGGTGGTTCAGGGAAATTAACTGAATTGCATTCATAAGCAGCTAATGTAACTGAAGCTATATGTGGACCCTATGAAACAAATATGAGAAACCTCTGATGAGAAATATTAATGAAAAAGGAATTACCAATCAATATACATGTCATTTTAACAGTACTTTAATTACTATACACAAATAGAAAAATCTTAGCTTCTAGAGAATAAGAATCTAACTACATATTTCAAGTTGCAGTTGGTAATTTGAAAAACTAATCCTTAATCTCTTCCTAGCTTGTTTTTTTAATTCAGATTTATTGAAGTATAATTTACATATAATAGTATATAGGTATATAGTTCATTGAGTTTTGACAAATATATTGAACTGTATAAGCACAACCAATCAAGATATAGAACACTTCCATCACTACAAAAAGTTCCCTGGTGTCTTTTTATAGTCAATCTCCTTCTCCAACACCATATGATTTCTGGCTTTATTTGATTTTATTCATCTATATTCTCATTTGTAAGAATGTTATACCCTTTGATAAAAAATTCCTGTGCCCTATTCCTTTAGGCATGATTCGAGAATACAACTTTTCTGTCCTTACTTAAAAACAATTGGTGAAGTAACTGCCTCACTTATCTTTCCCAAAGATAAGAGGTCCTAAAACAAAATAAAACTGTGGAACAAATATCAGTAAGTTTTTCTTTTAAAGCAGTATTTTCTATGGAAGATTTTGTGCTGCTTTGTACCTTTATTTTAAAATATTAAAAATTAGGGGCACCTGGGTGGCTCAGTCGGTTGAGCATCCAACTTCGGCTAAGGTCATGATCTTGCAGTTTGTAAGTCTGAGCCCCACATTGGGCTCACTGCTGTCCACCTGTCAGTGCAGAGCCTGCCTCAGATCCTCTGTCCCCCTTTCTCTGCCCCTCCCCTGCGTGTGCTCTCCCAAAAAATAAATATAAAAAACAATAAACTAAAATATTACAAATTAATAATAATCACATAGGTTAAAATGGATTAATATTAGATGTGTGATAAAGGCTTAATAAACACAATGGTTCCCAAGTGCACATGCATGCCAAGGTGAGGGGTCTGTATAAGAACCAACTAAGGAGTTTGTTAAATATACAAATTCCTGGGTTTCCTAACATAGATTTATTCAATAGGTGGGGATGGGAACCTGTATGTTTTAAATGAGTTTCTTTAGAATTTCAAATAAGTTAGGTTCTCTAATAGGCTAGGTTTAGGAACCATTGGGATAACAGTAAATTAAGGGTCAGGAATGAAACTTTTTTTTTTTTTTAAACGTTTATTTTATTTTGAGAGAGACAGAGACAGAGAGACAGAGAATCCCAAGCAGGCTCTGTGTTAGCAGAGCGGGGCTCGAACCCACAAACCATGAGATCATGACCTGAGCCAAAACCAAGAGCCAGATGCTTAACCGAGTGAGCCACTCAGGCGCCCCAGGAATTAAACAACCTTAGACAAAGTCACTTAACTTTTTTCTGGGCCTCAGTTTACTCTTCTGCAAAGCAAAAAAATTAAGACTCATAGTTTTATTCAGCTCCAAAATAAAAAACTTCAAATATAATTAAATATGTGAATTAAAATCTAACAATAATTTCCAAAGTTCTCATGAGGTATCAGAGCTAAACACTGGACATCCTTAACACGTTTCTTTGACACACAAGCTGTAAATATTTACTTTAAAGCATACTGTAGACCTAGTGGCTATAAGCATAACTTCTAGAGCCACATGTTCTGGTTCAGGTTCTGGACTCTGTAACTTACCTTCTGAGTCTTGCTCTCCTAATCTATAAAATGGAAATAATCAAATACCTTCAGAACCTACATTCTGGGGATACCATAAAATTTAAATCAGTCAACTTATATAAAGTACCCAGCTTAGAATAAACCCTCAAAATGTACTAGCCATTAGTTATTACAAAGAAAAATACTGTATTTGTAGAATAAAATTTTGTAGAATATCAAATAAAAATATAGTAAAAATTTCTGTTATACAATATTATGTTTTAGATAATATAATATTAAATTGTATGCATTAATATATTAAAATATATATATAATTTTATCCTCTCTAGGTCTATACACATACACACATACAGTAAGTGGTCTCGGTATACAAGAGGTTTTTCTTTTTTTTTTTTTTTTTTTTTTTAATTTTCTTCAAAGTCAAAGTTTGCATGTTTTGGAGAGTGAAAGAGAGAGAGAGAGTCAGGAAGGTGGGGGGGGGGAGGAGCAGAGGGAGAAGGAGAAAGAGACTCCTAAGCAGGCTCCATGTTCAGTGCAGGGCCCAATGTGGGGCTTGACCTTACCACCACGAGATCACGACCTGAGCCTATATCAAAAGTCCGACGCTTAACCGATTGAGCCACCCAGAGGCCCTGAGAGCCTTTTTAAATCATAAGGTAAAAGAATTAGTGGTTCAAAGACAAAAGTGCACAAGATGCAACAATGAAAATAAAACATTAAGGAACTATTGCTATTAAGATAAAAGGTGATTTATGGGGCGCCTGGGTGGCGCAGTCGGTTAGGCGTCCGACTTCAGCCAGGTCACGATCTCACGGTCCGGGAGTTCGAGCCCCGCGTCAGGCTCTGGGCTGATGGCTCAGAGCCTGGAGCCTGTTTCCGATTCTGTGTCTCCCTCTCTCTCTGCCCCTCCCCCGTTCATGCTCTGTCTCTCTCTGTCCCAAAAATAAATAAACGTTGAAAAAAAAAAAAAAAGATAAAAGGTGATTTAAAACAAAACTTTTTGTTGTAAGTTAATACAAAAAATATATTCATAAATCTAAGCTACATTTCTCCCTATATGCAACTGGCATTGTGTGTTCAAAGAAAATCTAAAAAATGTAGTTCTGCATGTAGCACTGAATCAATTATTAGTTTTTTTCTGGACCAAAAAAATCTATGTGAATTTTTAGCCTCTTCATCTTTCTCTTGAGTTTTAATTCACAGAAAGTAATAAAGAGTAATATTTACATTAAAAGAATAATTACGTAAATGCTTTTGAGTAGTCACATTTTCCTTCAAAGTTATTAACCATGAAATCCACAATTGCTTCTTTGAATACTATATGCATAAAAGATTTCACAGTTGAGAGGAAAAAGAATTATTTTGTGATTCTTAAAAAAAAAAAAGTTTAAAGTTTGTGGAATTCAGAATAATTGAATAATTAGTGAAAAATTTCTTACTCTACACATATAGCTAAGTATCAGATGTTATTGCTTGTTTTAATAAAACAAACAAAAAACGTAACTTCAACCTATAATGTATGAAACGCAAAAGAAAAATGTGATACCAGTAAGTAAAATAGAAGAAATTCAAGAGTTTGCCCATGATACCCCACAAACTGTCCCTATAATATACAGTACAGTCTACTTCTCAACCCTAGAAACAAACTCTAAGTGAACAAAATTAAACTGCCCTGGATACTAAATAATAATATTTCTGGGATGTACAGGAAAGAAAAACCTACATTTCTATTCTAGAAATATAAAATATGTACCTCAACAGATCAAACACATTATCCAACAAGATAAAAGACTTATTCATAGTTTCAATTTTAAGTAATTCTAAAAAGGGAAAATTTCAGCAATCTGATGAGAATTTTTTCCCTAAAGAAAGGACGGTTCATTCACACAACTAAACTGATATATACTTTCCATAACCACACTAATAAGTCATGATTACTCAGCCTTTGAGGCAGATGTGGTTCCCAGCAAAACGGACACAAATAACTCAGCTTCTTGTCCTTTGTTCATTCTCAAGAGCCCGTTTAGTCCGTACCTTGACATTTTAGTTTAAACTACGTTAATTATAGGAAACTTCACAAATTCTTTTCAACATTATAGGCTGATGGTTCCTATATATAATTGAGTTGAATGAAATAAATTTAGTTTACATGAAAAATCCAAACACCAAGACTAAAAAATTGTTTTGATTAAAATATTTTTAAAGGTTACACATACTCAAATTAACTTTTATTTTCTACAACCTACAAGTCCTACTGCACTGTATCATATATTAAATGTCTTAACTATGCTAAATCAAAAACCAAGGGATAAAGACAAACAGCTACAGTGTAAGCAGAAAACACTATCTGGACAGAACCACCATGAAACATATAAAACCCAACAATGTATTGAGCAGGAGGTTACAGCTGTCCTGAGAGCATTTAGATATTGATATGTATGGATTAGAGATGCTGGCCTTTGGTTGGGGGTTTTCTGTCTCAGATCATGAAGTGGTACGGACTTTTACATCTACAGTAAACTAAAAGACCGGACAAAACACATGGAACAATTCTTTTCAGGCATTGTACCATAGGCAGTCTATGATTTCTGACTGCTGATAGAAGGAATACAAATGAGGAAACCCTATGATGGCTCTGGCTCTTCATTTGTAGACACATTCCATGTCTATAGCAAAATCCAAAGAGAAAGAGCCCAAGCAAAGCATGGTGGTCTTGGGGTGCCTGGCTGGCTCAGTCTGAAGAGCGTGTAACTCAGGGTTGTGAATTTGAGCCCCACGCTTGGTGTAGAAATTACTAAAAATAATAAATTTTTTAAAAAACGGCATGGTGGTCTTGCTGAGTTGAGAAGTAAATCTGAGTTCAGGGAGCCTGAGTAGTTGAAATCTGTGGGACAGAATGATAATAAAGAGAAAGAACTCTAGAAACATGCACAGGGTCCTCTTGAGACTTTGATATACAAAGCTGCATTGCAGGCTAGGGTGAGATTCCATTAGGCTAGGCAAAGAACAAGTGGTGGGAAAACAACCTACAACAGTTGTAAGATAAACAATTCCTAGAGTTCACAAGGACTAGGAAACACCTGCAGTTCAACCAGCTAGAGTGCAGAGACTCGGCATTCAGGGAAGACCCTAAAAGGAGCTTAGAGTAACAGTTACTCCAGATAGGCCATAACATGTTTTCTTTTAAAAAAGCCTTAAACAGATCAAGTTGATGACAGGTAACTTGACTGCCCACCAAAATAGAAACTGATGCTCTGCAAAGAAAGACAACAAATCTATACAATCAACAATTTTAATACTACATGTCCAGCATCT